CTGTTTTAACAATAAGATGAGAATTTTATTTCTGAGTTTCTCCCCGTTCGTACACGTAAATTGAACATTCGCGTTAGACGTCACTCGTCATTACGAGCGAGAACACTTGCTAATGAATAACACATCGATCCGAAGAAGCCACCAAGTCGGTTACGTCGAGAGGGTCACGTTAATCATCGATTAATGACGATCTCTATTCAAGCAGCAATATTCGTCTCAACGACGACGACGGTGACTCAGGCTCGCGATGATTCGCTTTCTCGGCTCGGCACCGGAAGTGCAACGCGTTCTGCCTCGTTACATCGACACGGGCGAATTTTTTGCTTCGAACGTCACCTTCTCAGAAAACTTGTAACACCCCAAATATTTCACGGAAATATTACTACTTCGAAAAAACAAAATATCCCATTCTTTTCCAGCTTGCGAATTTTCAACCGCTGTTTTCACCGCTTGAAAGAAATATTCAGTTTGTGCGCGCGGAAACCATCTTTTTTTTTTGCATGTTATATAAAAGATTATATAACTAAAATATTTCAAATTTGTTTTTAGTTTCTTAATCATCTGTTTTTTCTTCAACATCACACGAGAGTCGAAAAACCAACTACTGGGTTTTTTTAATCGACCTTTTATTCCGTCCGATTTAAGCCTTAATTAATTTTCTAATCTGATAAGCATCTTAATTCGCGTAAGAGCTGACGAAGGTACACAGAAACGCGGGACGCGCGCGCTGAAAGGCGAAGAAATCACCGAATTACGAAGAAGAGAGAGAGAGAATCGCTCTTGTGATAAAATCTGCAGCTCTTGGTTGCGCGCTGAAGTACCGAGCAACCGCTTCAAGGTCTTTTTGCCGGTACCTTCACGGACTGTCGAGCATTCCGAGAAGGACGAGAAAATAACGAGCGCTAGAGCTCTAGCGAGAGAGACTCGGACGCGCGAGCTGGCGACGGCAGAGCTAAGCAAAGTAAACGAAGTCAATGCGCGCTGTTATAATTTTGCACTAACTATACTCGAGAGAAAATAAGTCCGGAGAGCGGCTTCTCTCTTCTTCTACGCGTTCTAATTTACCGCGAAAAGAGAAGATCTCGAACTCTTTTGATCTCTTTCCGAAAATAGGTGCAAAAAACCGCGTAGATTTGCTAAACAATTAAGTGACAAAAATTGCTACACAAGAGATGTTTTACAAATTGACATTCCGCGGCTCGATAATTTGTCTCGGTGACCGAACCGACGGATTAAGCAATTGCGCGCAATCGGCAAATTATGAGATTTACACAATTTGAAGGGGAAGAAGTGATATATGTGTTGCGCGCGCGCGCGCGCGCACAAAAGACGTAGTCTTCGCGAGAAAAAGCATCAAGTGCACCTATGTGCCCGCGCGTGTACACATGTTCCCCGACGCAAGGATCATCATACGTCTCTATTTCATCTAGCTGAGAATGCGATTAAGCATTTTCCCGCCGCCGCCGCCGTTACATATCACGCTGACATTACTCATTTGCAGCTGGCGTCTTTTTCATGCAGCTGCGAGAGCTCGCACGAGAGAAAGAGCCAGGCGGATTTAACTATCTCTCGGAGATTTATACCGACGATACACGCGCTCGCGCAGTATAATTAGATGTACACACACAGATATATCGCAATTTCATCTTTTTCTCAAGTTCTCTCTCCTCCGTCTATAATTCCTCTCTTTCTTGTTGTCGAGCGTCGGTCGTAACAAATTAACTGTCATTTTGATCATTTTCTTTTGATATATTGCAAAAAAACCGCGGACGGAGAAATTTCGCGCTGTGCGGTCGATTTCGACGTCAAGTCAGAAGCAAACGGTTCCCGTTCCTAAAATCCGAGCATTTTTGAACGCCCAACTTGCGCGCTTCCTACGAGCGACCGGAAGGAATAAATAAATCGTAATGTAAATCCTCGTAAATCCTTTGCGCGCGGCTCCCCCGCCGCCGAACCGGCATTTATATTCAACATACAGCCATAAATTTTTATCGACTGCATTGACGAACTGGCGATTCCCTTCCCCCCCCCCCTCCCCGAGTCCAACAATGGACATAAATTTCATCGCGCCCTTTGTCAGGACCTTCATTCTCTCGTCGGGAACTTCCTTTTTTTAGAGAAAGATTATTTATTCTTGCGTCGAATACCACGCGCGAGAATTGCCGGAACCAATTCGTCATTTGAGTCAACCTTCTATAACGGAAACGGATGTGGACAAAAATTTTTACGCGTTTTAACGTTACTAAAAAAAAAGAAAAAAAGCGATTGATTTCTCGATTGAACGGATCCGAAAGTTTGCGATCTCGAAAAATTTAATATCGGATTTAACGGATCCATTTGTTTCTAACTTGTTACGTAAATTTTTCAATTAATATTATTTTCCATGTGAATGTATCATTTAATTGTCACGACTCGTGAAATATTCTAAGCTTATAATTGCGATCTTATTATTTACATTTACGTGTCGTCAGTCAGCGAGATGCACGCGCGGCAATTTGCGTAATTGCGTTTGCAACGTGAAAGGTCATCGATACAAAGAAAAATGAGTGCGTGAATCACACGCCGTGTCCTTCTCAGCGTAAACGTGTCGATTACCGCCGCGTAATTATCGCGACGAAGTTAACAATAAAACGCGTTAGTTTGTTTTTGAGAACGAGAGAGAGAGAGAGAGAAATAAAGAGAAGCGTCGGAATTGAAAATGCAATAATTTTGCAATTGCTTCAATTTTTCTCTTAGATTTTTTTGTCCACTTTTTTTATCTCTTATTCATACAACGCACTTGTTTTCTAGTTGTAATAAAAGCGCGGTCTTTGACGTGATAAAACGAGACAAAGAAATATTCTAATAATAAGAAAAATAAAGCAAGGTCACAAACGAGCAAGAAAGTAAGTTGTATATTATACACAGAATTTAAATAACACATTATAAAGTCAATATATATAACATATACGCGAAACGTTTCTGTCTCGCAATGGAACCTTCTTCAGTCGCGATAAAAAACATATTAAAACGCAAGACAGAACAGTTACATAATTATACGAACTCGCCGAAAATAATAAGTTTCGCGTATATTATTGATTTTATAATGTGTTATTTGAATTCTGCGTATAATATACAACCTACTTTCTTGCTCGTTTGTGACCTTGCTTTATTTTTCTTATTGTTATATTTTTACGAGCGTTTTTGATTTTTCTTTAATATAATTCTTTAATATAATTCTTAAATATTTTAATAAAACTTGAAAAAGTTCGCGGAAAAACAAACAGAGAAATTAAATATCGTCGAGCGATGATATAAAGACAAAATTTATATACGATACTTTAATGCGTTCGTTTATTATGATAAATTAAATGCGTATAACTCTCATTCGATTCCAATCGCGCGAGATCGACGTTACATCTACGATTTTGCCCGAGCAAATTGATTGATGTTTATCAGTTTTTTCAGATATCAAAAATAACAGGCTCTTTAAATGACGAAATGATCCCTTGATCGTCGATGACAATGTAAATATTGCTGACGTATTTGTGCGCGCGGTATATTTGTATTAACCGATATATAATTAACGATACAACGTCAAGCGATAATTACTCTCCAATGGAAGGTTCAATTCACATGTTTACGAACTCGGACGCTAATTAATATTCTCATTCTTCATTGCGCGAAACAAGATTGCAATTAATAATTTTTAAGCCGAATTAAAACTTCAAGATCGAGCTTTCTGTTTCACATTGATTTCAAAACAGCGAAACGGAAAGTTGATAAAAAATCCAAAAGAATTTTGCAGAAATGTCATTTGAAAAATAAACGATCGGCACGATAAATAAATAAAAATATCAAAATACACATATACGCAAGACGTATCTATATAAAATACTCCGCTGTTATTTTATCGTGACTTGCGGAGCTCACGGAAAGCTGGTAATAGCGTAACGACATTGCAAGATACGGAGGGTGGTCTGTCTCTCTTCGTGTGGCTGGAGAATTCCCCGAAGAGAAACATACACCCGGCGCGCAACAAAATGTGACTCGTAACATGTATTGCGAACGAAACGCAACGACATCAGTTGTCGCACACGATCATGACACGATGTGTCGTTGCGCGGCACAGAGAAAACGCGAAGCGATCCATCGATCGACGTTTGATTATACGAACATCGCGCGCGCATCGATTGTTTAATTAAGAATCGCGCCGAAGTAATCTGAAACTTCTAAACGACAGATCGTAAAAAATTCATCTGATCATTTCAAACAAATTTATCTCAAATTTCAAAAACAAACAAAACAAAAATTTCTCGCATCAATTGAAGTCGAAATTAGTACGTTACGTCACTGAAACACTTTCTTTTTTTCTTTTCACAATTTGCGCGGCATTTAACAGGCGCAATCACCGAAAGATGGAAAGTAAAAGCGAGCGATGGATATGGATAACAAATCGCGAATAAATCGCGGGCGAGCGAGGCGAACTTTGACAGCTGAATGACAGCGTTGAATAATGTACGATTGTCACCGCGGCATCGAGTTCAGCGCGTGAATATACGCGCGCGGGTTGAACGAGAAGCGCCGTACGCTTCGAATTCAAAGGAATGACGTTTCTTTCTTTAAATAAGGGCAACAGATTGCGCGCCCGTTTATTGTCGAGCACAACAAACGAGAAAAACACCGCGTTTGAACGAGCGCGTGTAATATTATATAAATTATAATACACGCGAAGCGAGAATGACTCGAGCGAAAGTGACCTTGAAAACGGTGCTCCGAAAAATTACGGAATCTTTTACCGACGAATTGAAATTTAAATTATTCCCCGTATCCGTTCGCACGTGCGAAATGACTCAGCAAATATATCGAATCACCTTCTCGATCGAGACAATTAGATCACAACGTGGGGCGCAGAAACGAAACATCCGATTGATAACAAAAGCGCGTTCACGTACGGTATGTGGTATCGCACAAAAATACAAAAATACAGAGAGCGCGTGAAAAAAGTTATGGTGACTCACCTTGACTTGCGGGGTTTGCGGCAGGTACGACGACCGCGAGCAGCATCAGCAACAACACCGTAGGAATTATCGGCAGTAGTTTGCATCGACGCGCTGTAACATAGCCGACGGCGACGACGCGTTCCGAATCCCTCGCGCGCCGAGAACCGCGCGCCATGTTCCTGAGACCGTCACACGGCATGGCTATGTAGCTCTGTTGTCTGCCTCTGTCGGACGTGTTCACGTCGCGAACGATTTCTCACGCGACGAACGTCATGACAATGTGACCGCACTTTGTCTCGCGGCACACACGCTATTGGCAGCACGTTGACTGTCTCGCGTCTGTTGTTCGCGCGCATTCACACCACACTCGCGTTACCGACCACTCCAGCCCGACTGGAACTCCGCTCGCGCTGACCGTTGCGACACCTCTGAAGTCGGCCGGCCCCCCTCCCCGACCGTCGCGTTCGAGAGATCGACGCGCGGAGCCGAAAACGGCCGAAACGTCGGACAACGCCACAATGCGCGGAATTCAAACGCGCGTTCGCGAAGTTGGAGATGTGTATTAAACTTTTTCCCAAACAGAATCTTCAAAGTCACATCGACATATCGTTATTCACACGTAACATATCACCTGTCCTTCGCAACATCAAATCACGATACAATAACATTTATATTAGGACGAGATTTGTGTTTGTGTCTTAAAGTTTTCGTTTATACGTTTGCAATAACGTGTCAGCGAGCTGAACGTTTACTTGTCTTTTGTCTACTTACGTATACACATCGTATTTTTCGTAGAAATCTTTTCTGTAAATGTAATTATTTGCTCAATGTAGTCGAGTGTTTGTCAAACGCCACATATGCATTATTACTCTTCAGTTAAAAATATTTACGCATATTTATTGATAAAAATTTGTGCAGATGGTGAAAAACAAAAAATTTAGAACAATCTACTGGATGGTATTACTGTAATTAGCAAACAACATTATACGTCTGCAAAGTAAGGAAAATATACACACTCCATGTTCTTCTCTCTCTCTCTCTCTCCTCTCTCTTCTCATTTTTCTTTTCTTTTACTTTCGATTTGTTTTTCTTTCACTACATTTATCAAGTACTTGTTGTATAATAATTGATGAGTGATTTATTTATTTATAAAACAGTTTATTCATCGTTGCGTCCGTACGAATGTGACACGTGCAAAAACAAAACTTGTAAACATAAGTAAAATATGGAGCAGCATGTTAAAACTCGTCCTCTTAAGAAATCTTATAAGTGCCAAGTACGTTTTTCGATTATATTCGTAAAATATATTGAACATTGATTTCTCTAAGTGACAATAATGTGTATTATTTTTTTTAAGACATGTGGTAAACGTTTTTTGAAAAAATATCGTTTAAAGGACCATGAAACAATTCATTCATCGTTGCGTCCGTACGTATGTGACA